GGTTTGTATGCCGCCTTGCTCCACACGCCTTTTCAGCTCTGCCCAAATTTTCCACAGGATTGAGATCAGGGCTTTGTGATGGCCACTCCAAAACATTGACTTTGTTGTCCTGAAGTCACTTTGTAACTAATCTGGCAATATCCCTAGAATCATGGTCCATTTGGAAGACCCATGTGCGCCCAAGCTGTAACTTCCTGGCTGATGTCTTGAGATGTTGCTTTAATATTTCCACATAATGTTCTTTCCTCATGATTCCACCTATTTTATGAAGTGCATCAGTCCCTCCTGCAGCAAAACACCCCCACAACATGATGCTGCCACCCCCGTACTTCACAGTTGGGATGGTTTTCTCAGACTTGCAAACTTTCCCCTTTTACCTCCAAATGTAACCATGGTCATTATGGTCAAACAGTTCAGTTTTACTTTCATCAGACCACAGGACATGACTCCAGAAATGAAAGTCTTTGTCTTTGCATCTGAAAACTGTGATCTGTCTTTTTTTTATGATGCTGCTGGAGTTATGTCTTCTTCCTCTGTCAGTATCCTTTCAGCCCATGTCGGTACAGGACTCGTTTCACTGTGGATAATGACTCTCTGACCAGCTTCAGCAGCATCTTCACAAGGTCCTTTGCTTTTGTTCTGGGGTTGATACGCACATTTCACACCAAAACACTTCATCTCTGGGACACAGAACTCGTCTCCTTCCTGAGCGGTATGATGGCTGGACATTGACATGGTGTTTATATTTGCGTATAGTTGGGGCGTCGCTATAGCTCATCTGGTTGAGCTGGTGTCCCATATGCAGAGGGGCTATAGTCCCCGATGTGGAGGTCATGAGTTTGAATCCCGCTCATGGTCCTTCCCCCATTTTTCTTCCCCGCTTTCCTGTCTCTCTCTGTCACTGCACTATCAAATAAAGGCAAAAAGGCCAAAAAAAACAACTTGCTTGTAATTGTTTGAACAGATGAACGTGAAACTTTCAGGCATCTGGAAATTGTACCCAAGGATGAACCAAACTTGTTGAGGTCCACAATTCTCTCCCTGATATCTTGGCTGATTTCTTTAGATTTTCCATGTTGCTATAAAAGGAAGCAGTGTGTTAGAGGTGTTCCTCCAATTAACGCAAATGTTGTCAATTACCCTATCAAAAGCTTCCAAAGCCATGACATCATCATCTGGGCTTTCCTCAATGGTTTGATAGCTTAATCTTAGTGTATGTAAACTTCTGACTTTGAAGAAAGTGTTAAAAAAAATCTCTAAAAAATGGAAATAATTTTGATAATCCTAACTGACCTAAAACAGGAAAAGTTTAGTCTGATTCAATGTCAGACAGTGAGGGGGGAAACACAGATGATGTGTATTTTTATACAGTGTATGTAAACTTCTGGTTTCAACTGTACATGAGCAACATGACCAGTACAAACTACTGCTGTTCAATATACACTCTGAAGTAATGAAATCCTGTCTCAGAGTCGAATATTTCTTCCCTCTGGCGTCTGATGAGCCTCCTGACTTCAGATACATTCATTACTTAAAATGACCTTTGAATGCATCATTTTTCATCATCTTACCAGGAAGCAGCGTCTTGCCTCGTTTCAGCGCAGGGCTGCTTTTCACTCTCAGTGAGCACTAATTGAAAATCTGACATTAAAGTTTTCCCTCTCTTGATGTAAGACTTTGGAACTAATCAATTATTTGCAGGTTTAATGTTTTCTTTTTTTCTTTTTTTACCTTGTCGATGTGTCTCATATATATGCTTGAAGGAACATTATGAGTGAAATAAGGAGTCAGTCATGGCTGAGTGTTTCCACATTAAAGCTGTTTGTGTGTGTGTGTGTGTGTGTGTGTGTGTGTGTGTGTGTGTGTGTGTGTGTGTGTGTGTGTCATCCCATGTTCATTTGGTACATTTTGGTTCCATCTGGTTTGTCATTTGGTGAGTTTCTCTATTTTCCAGAAAGCCGATGCATCAGGGCTACTTTGGAAAAAGAAAAAAAAAGTTGAGGCGGACCTTGTAAGTACAGTAAAAATACATGGAAAAATAATAAGAATTTTTTTAGTGTGTATCTTAAATCTGTGGTGATGTCATTAAAAGAGGTTTTTTTCCAAGTTCAGGGACGTCTTTCATTTGCTCCGATGATGTCTAGAAAGGGTCCTAAAGAGGTAGGCATTAATTGAAGATATGAAATACAAGAATGTGACACTGTGCGTCTGTGTGTGCGTGTGTGTGTGTGTGTGTGTGTGTGTGTGTGTATGTGTGTGTGTCATCTCATGTTCATTTGGTACATTTTGGTTCCATCTGGTTCGTCAGTTTTTTTTCTTTTCTCCAGACTCGTGGACTGATCAAACTGCTGACACATTTCAACCTGCAGTTTTCATCGCAGTGGATGAACTTCTACATTCATATTTTTGAAGATATATGAAACAAAACTTACCAAAATGATTGACACATTATTAATTTTTTCCCCACTAGAGTGCTGCTTTTTACATACATTTACTTCGTGGAAACATGTACAGATTTGTAATGCAGACCACCCAGCTTAGTGCCTCATAAACTTCATTTAGAGACCATTTCAGAAATAAGCCCAGAGAAGAGACTGTTTGAAGGGACACACTACATAACGGGTGATGAAGGTCTGCACTTCCCTCCATCATCATCTCCTCCACAGCTGAGCATCAAGCATCCAACAGTTTGTGTTTTTTCAAAACCTGCCCCATCCTAGAAACCAAATGACTCTGCCACATTCACTCTACCATGAAGGCTGCTGGCCCCACCTTCCACATGAGAAAGTTTCCTTCATGTACCGTATAAGCGAGCGAACAGGATAAACCCGCTCCTGATCGCTGTTCAGATGAAGCTCGCTTGGCCTGTAGTATGGAACCAGCATTACCTCGCAGTGCAGAAACCCACACCAGACTCTTCTTGTCATTAACACTGGTTTACCGAACTCTGGATAACATGAGAGGAGGGGGCTCAGGTTTCAGGGATGTGGGGCAGTGGGGTCACTGTGGATCCAGAAGGATGGAGGAGAGGAAATACTTGAGAGTGTCCGCTAATCTTGTGTTAAAAACAGAGATGTGGTGTTTACTCTATTAGTTTTCACCGAATAAATCAATTAGCTGCCTTGATAATTAAATAAATAGTTTGAGTAATTAAACATAAACAGAATATATTTAGGTTGTGAACAAAAGAAGACGTCATCTGGAGCTTTCGCATCGACATTTTTCATCATTGTCGAGATTAATCAAGAAAATAATTCCCAGTTGCTGTCCTTGTCAACACTCTGCTCAGTTAAAACTTTCAGGGATTCGAACTTCAACCACCACTAGTGAGGACGTCTCCGCACCCGCTTGCATCCGCCAACAGTCCTCCTCCGTGTCCACCACTTCCACAACCATCAGACATCATCGGCCTGACCACAGAAAATTCACCCGACGACACGAGTCATGTAAAGTTACTGAAGTTCTCTCAGTTGTAGGTAATGCTCTCCTCTCTCATAAATAACCTCCGTCCTGCCAAACACCGAACAAGCTGCAAATATAAAGAAACATGTAAGATATGAACTACGCGAGGTGAGTCCAGCGAGCAGTGGAATATGTTCACCTTTGCAGAGTCATCCACGCTCATCAGGACGGAAAAACAAGTACCACAGGATTAATGTCAATTACCCAACTCCAACGTCAATTATTCAACTCCACTGCACTTGTGTGAAGTTGCTTTTCAGCACCTCTGTGTCGGAAACAGGTTGTTTTTTTTTCTGCACCGTAGCTGACCCAGAACACCCTACGAGACTCTTGTGAGCTGCTCAAGCCAACAGCACATTGGTGGTTGGTGGTTTTCAGCATTTAGAAAGAGGTTCCTCAAGACTTCCCTTCAGCTCATGCACGGCTTCATCCCATCAGCCCTGAAAGACATAACTGACCTTTGAATCCCCTAAAAGCTGCATTTGGATCAACCTGACTGACAGAAACCTGAAAGTGACGCCTGTTAATGATACACATCCTCCGCTTTTCCCTCAAACCATCCTCACCTTCTTCATCTGCCCTGAGGTGAGCTAGTGGAGGAGACGTGCCGTTCGAGGCGGGTGAAGCACGTTTGAAGGCCGGTCACACGTTCAGAGATGGAAACAACATGAACGATTTGCATCAAAGAAAACACCGCCGCAGGGAAGCGAGGACAGATGAAGCCCGCGCATTCTGAAATATAGACAGCCTCAAATTCCATGCCCCTGGGCTCCTATGCAAAATTTAGCAGCTCAGATGTATTGTTTGTTTTTGAAGCTTACATTTGTTTACTATTTTATTCTTTCCATGCAAACACAAAACGAAGCATATTATAGTTTCACGCTTGATGAGCAGATGTACGGTGGACTAGGTTTATTGAAGTGCATAAAAAAACTATTTTACATATCTAGACTAAGTGAGCCAGAGACAATTGATTCCATGCCCCCAAAAGCAGATAAGTGTGTCCAAGTGTGGTGGAGACAAAATCAGTCAAGACAGCAGCAGCATGAGACGCTGAGAGGGACATCAGAGCATGAGAGGATGTGCACAAACTAAACTGATGTCATTTGTTAAAGTCATTTACTGTTTTAGTTGATAAAAAGGCAGAATAATTCCTGAATGACAGACGTCTGCAGGGTTCAGAGCTGAACAAAATGTTCACTCAGAGGATGTAAACAGCCTCCTCAGGTCAGGGTGAGTGTGAGCCTTTAAAGGAAAAGTCATGTTTTTAAACTAAAGATTTCCCCAGATTTCTGTTTAAACGTGTTTCAGGGTTCCCTCCCTCTCTGGGCCAAACACCAGCCAACACTTAAACACGCATCAGCAAACATCATTATTGAGGTTAATTCTAGAAAGCAAAGCGTCAGTTAAAAGTCTACATCATTAGGATGCCAAACAGCCTCTGTGACGAGAAATCAATTATTAACTGAGTTTTAATGACAGAAAATCGGCTGCTCAGCTCCCAGAATGATCTCAAGGACGAAAAACTACAATCTTACTTTGACTGTCAAATTTCCTGATGATGGTGTCCAGGAAGGTGTTCTGTGGAGCCACATGGCCCCTCCGGACCGGCATCTTCGCTGCGGTGGCTCCTGGACTTTCAAAGACTTTGCAGGACTTTTGTTGTTATCAACCCCCCGAAGCTGCGTTTCCAAATCCCCGCAGCCGAGCGCACGATGCTCACTGCGCTCCCCGCATGGACGCTCAGCCCCGCCGGCTTCAGGGGCAGTAATCCGGGGGCCAAAGTTTTCCTAAGTTGCTCAGAGAGACAGCGGCTTCTTGGAGAATCTCCAGCAAAAAGTGAGGACAGGAGAGTTCTGGAAAGGAGGCGCACTGTACGCACGGCAGATCTGAGCCGCTTCCAGCCTCCAGTTTCCAGGTTGAGAGGAGCGAGGGTGTCTGTTTCTGTCCCCCGAGGGGAGGGCGGCCTGTCAAGTGATATTTCTTGCAGGTCTCACACTCGGTGGAGCACAGCAGACCTCTCATCCTGCACTACAGCCCGCTCCTGAGAGGCAGGCTGGCCGAGGTTTCCGACGAGCGTCGTTGGAGCCATAGTTGGGGCGCTGGGATGCGCGTTTTTTTTTTTTTTTTTTTTTTGTGATTTCTTTCTCCTTCTTCCACCTCCTCTCTGTTCCTCTGGAGCTCTGCGTGTCAGAGTGGAGGGAGAAAGAACAGAGTGATGATGAAAAGAAAGCAGCAGATCGTCAGCAGCTTGAGTCGTCCTAGATCAGTGTTTTAGGAGGTGTTCTCGGTATCTCTCCTCCTCCTCGCTGTGCGCTCTGCCGGATGACTTCAGCTCCACTGGCGTCTAGCTGCGCCTTTTTTTAACCCTTTGCTCATCAGCTGCTCTCACTTTTTATGACGGACTGAGGAGGAGATGCGTCCTGAGCTCTCTGAATCCTCCTCATCTCCAGAGGCAGCAGCTTAAAGTTAACCACAGTGGAGCCCTGAGCCGCCTCAAAGGTGCCCCCCTTCTCATTAATGAACTTATCAATTATTCATTTGGCATAAAATTGATCATTTGTCACAACTGGAGGAAACTGGTGTAAAAATGACGCCCTGGAGCTGAGTCCTTCAAGATAAAAGAGAAGGTGCTTTGTGTTTCATCACACAGCTGCGCTTAACAGGTGTTAGGCTTTGTGCCTCCTTCCTGGATGGGAGGGATTCATCTGACACACGCTCAGCCTCCTGTCTGCTCCCTTTGTGCTGCTCTGCTCTGTACAGTAAAACACTATTTCCACAACCCCGCGCATGAACGTTCACCTGCGCTGGAGCGGCGCGTCTCTCTGCCGGCTGGAGGATCCGGACGCAGCGGAATCAGTGGATGAGACGCAGAAAACGGCAGGAAATGCACCGGTTCTTCACTGTGCTCCAGGGTTGGATGGGGAGTCACCACTCAGGCTGCTCTGCTACGTCACAGCGCCGGGGTTCCCCCCTTCCGTCATGCTGGGGACGGTGCCTTCACGGACTGTCGGAGATTTTGGTTTGAGGCTGAATCGCGCATAGATGAGGGGTAAATTCGATTAAAATGATCTGTTATATGAGGCATTTGATGTTTGAGCGATCCAAATCATATCGCTGCGGTGTTTGGCCTCACGTTAGACCGAGAAGTGTTTACAATCTTGTTCTAAATGAGAATAAATGAAGGCGACAGAAGCAGTTTGTGAGTGAAGGAGTGGAGCCTGTGAAGGAAAAGGAACTAAAGGAGCAGCTCACCACAAACACTAAAGGACTAATGTGTGTTCTTTAGGTTGAGAGTGTGAACATGCAGCTACTGTGACTGGAATCTAAAACAGTCGACTAAAATAATCAATTTGTATTATACATGAAGGTATGTCACTTAATGTTCCATCCATCCATCATCTATACACCGCTTAATCCTCACTAGGGTCGTGGGGGGCTGGAGCCTATCCCAGCTGACTCAGGGTGAAGGCAGGGGACACCCTGGACAGGTCACCAGTCCATCACAGGGCTACACTTAGAGACAGACAACCAAGCACACTCACATTCACACCTACGGACAATTTAGAATCACCAATTAACCTCAGCATGTTTTAGACTGTGTGGTAGGAAGTTGGAGAACCCAGAGAGAACCCACGCTGCACGGGGAGAACATGCAAACTCCGTCACTTGATATTATAGAACAAAATTAGGAAAGATTATTAAGTTCTTGGCAATTTCATACATTAACCTACATGAAGTGACATTGATGACCGGCTTTTCTTTGGCTTCCAAATGAGGTCTTATTCATTTTTTTAAGATAAGATAAGCCTTTATTAATCCCACAGTGGGGAACTTTGCAGTGCAAAGGGGAGAGTGCACGAACGTATGGACATGGATGGACATTAGAAGAAAAAAAATGTAATTAGATATTGCACAGATTCCTTTGAATGTGGAAAATAATGAAATTCCAGAGGGCCATTGTTAATGTACAAAAGCACTGATGTTGCACAGATTCTTGTGTATAAGCAAAAAAAAACAAACAAACAAAAAAAAACAAATCTTTCAAAAGCACACAACAGTCACAACATGCAAGTTTGAATGTCCTGATGCGGCACCAGAGTGAAATCTGACAGTGTTTCAGTGTGTTGTTCACTGGGAGACTGTTGGTTATAAACCAGTCTTTGCTCCTGATGCTGCAGGCTGCCGAGCTATAACTCACTTTCTGCAATTTGCCCACATACATGTTTTTATGTGATAAGATCAGAGAGCAGAGAGAAAAGAAGTTCATGTCATCATTTGAGGTTTAAAGGGTTGTAATGTGATGGTGAAGTAGCTGGACCTCTTTATGCGTTGGAAACACTTTCAAAGACAAACAGAAGCTACTTGGTGTGGCTGAAATCTCATTTTAGAAATAAAGCAAAAACTGAAACCTTCACTAAGCAACTCAAATTTGATTCGATTTATCTAGTCAATATTCATCCATTATCTATACACTGCTTAATCCTCACTCGGGTCGCGGGGGGGCTGGAGCCTTATCTAGTCAATATTGATTTCAAAACATGTCCTGAGTTTTCCTTTTCTGGCTGCACTTGAAGGCAGCACCAGTCATATTGATTTCCTCCTGCATATCCAACATCCTCACACTCTGAGTCCCTTTAAATCCATTAGAACAGGATTTCTTCGTCCAGTCAGTGAGCTTTGGCTGAGAAAAACGTACTTGTTTTCAGTTCTGTCAAATCCAGGCCTAAAGCCACACGGCTGCTCCGTGAATGCATTCATCAAAATGACCCCGCACAGCTCCGTGAACGCATTCATTTCCCCCCAGTGATCAGATGATTTAATGATTGGTTAGACATGATAAATTGCAGGCTTGCAGTTGAACGAGGGCTGAAAAACTATCCATCACAATATGACATTTTGGTATGAATTAAAAATGCATCAGTTTCTGCTCTTATTACTTTCAGCAGTATTTACTTCAGCAGCTGAAAGTCAGAGGAGGCGTGCTGGTCAGCCTTCCCATCTCAACTCCCTTATTTAGTCAGGAAAACAGAGAGGAGTGAGGGGAGGGGAGGAGGGGAAGGTGAGAGTGGAAGGAGGAAAGAAAAGGCGGTTTCTGGCCGCAGATCACAGCCTGTCACTCTCTTTTTGCATCTACACCCTGACAGACAGACGGAAAGGTAGCTAAAGTTCCTTAAGGAGTTCTCAATGCGTTTAACTTTGCAAAAAAATAATGATTCTGTGTCTGAATAAAAGATTTGAAAAGGCTCCAGGCTTCACTCTGACACATCCATTAAAAAGCTACATCTTCCTACAATGACTAAACGTTTCTGCAGCAAATTAAACTCTGTCATCAGCAATATCACTTTCCTGTCAAACAGTGTGTTTTGGATATTGGCAATTCTACTGAGCAAGGCGTGCGCGCAGCAAGCAGCAGCAGGTTTTACTCGGGCTGAATGTGTGGAACCAACCGGAAAAAAGCGGATTAATGCTTATTTAAATGCAGAGAGGCCAACAGGCACATTTGATACAGGCCTCCAACTGTGGTCAAGGAAGAGACTGAAAAGGTTCATCATCTGTGTAATGATGACACACTCATGGCTTTTTAACATTTCCAGGGAAACATTTAACTTTTTTTTTTTTTAAATAAATATTTGCAGCTTTATTTATCCTCAACAAAATGAGTCTGAGAAAAATCCAACACTTTCATCTTTGGAAAAAAAGCAATTAGAATTTGCACATCATTAATACATAAGTTGTTTGTATCTGCTTCTGCTGAAACTTCAGAGCTCAGACTTTAAGTTCGGAAGTTAGATCTAAAGGAGGGAAGCTTGTGTTAAGACCAAGAGACAGAAGCAATTAACACTGTGGCGCGCCTGTTTCAGCATAACTGGATGATGCAAACCTGTGTAACACCTGTTTAATTAAATAAATATAGTGTTAATATATATGCATTATGTGCTTTTGTGGGGATTTTTTGATGTGATATGATCTTTGAAACTAGAACCACGGGTGTTCTTTTTATATCACTTGCAACCCTCCAGATCTTAGTTCCAGAGCAAAACAGTCTGTTTATGAGTATGTTCATTATGAGCTCAACTATTTATTGCTTTGAACTAGGGGGGGAAAAAATGAATGAAAGCCTGCAACTATTTCAACAATAAGACTCAGTGATGTCTGTGATTCTATAAATGAAGCACTGTTTCATACTTCTCTCACACCAGATTAATACAGGCTCTTGTATGCATTCAGTTCTTTTGTGGTTTATCTGTTTTTAGTAATAACAAGTCAATGGGTTGTTGTCTCTGAACCCCAACAAGCAGTTTATGGGCATTTTTTGCTTCCACAACATTTTTCCGTGGGCTTATTTTTCACAGCACAACCATGGTTAGACGGAAAAAGAAATCAGAAATGTCTTCTGTGCATTATTACACAGTTAAAATGCCCGACATCATGAAGAACCTTTGTTCCGTCTACTCTTCACATGGACTCTAGAAAGATGTTTCACCATGTTGAATGTATCTTCCAACATCTTGCTGCTCTGTTTCTGAGCCATGCCTGTTGTTCACCTGAAAGCTCTGCAACTGAACACTCCTGTGGGTTTTTAGGATTCAGAGGGTTCAATAAATCTGGTA